ACATTATTGAGCATATCTAGGATGCCTTGCAACGTGCTATTCAGAAAAGATATCCACGAGTCCCACTCCTCTTACGAGTTTATGGAGAGCCCTGCAGGATTCATGGTTTCAGTTACCTTCAGCACCCCTTCAGACACTGGTCGAGTCAATGCCTCATCGTGTTGCTGCACTTCTGCGTACTTGCAGGAGCCCTACTCTAGGCAGGTGTACCAGTTTTTTTTGGCACATCAATTTATAATGAATGTAGTAATTTTAACACAAGAAAAATGTTAAAGTTTTTTGAGAAGTTTTGTTCTACCCATTATCATTAAATCATGAACAAACATAAATGCACCCATAAAATATACCACTTGACAAAATGGATTTCTTCGTTTCTAGATTTCATCATTTCACCTCAATTAGTACATAAGCAAGTTAAACACTCTATCTGCAACCAGTACCGTCCAAAATATAGTCAAGAATATTTAGGGTTCGTGTGCTGTTGATGACGTTTTTACACCAGCTACTAAATTAACTAATGTCTTGCGGAGAATTTGAGCATCGTTTGCTCTGATCGGCAGTTTTCTGAGATTACTACGATGCCGGAGGCATCTCCTATGATTGTCCCTTCTCCTCCCCTCGCCCACAGTTACATGCGCCACCCCGCCATGCACATTAGGTGAGGGCTAGCCATTATCTTGGTATGGGTGCTGCTCTTCTGTGGTGGAAATGCTGGGGGGGGGGCGGGGACTCCGCTATGAGATGAATAATTGTTTGGCGCCGGTTCTCGAGGAAGGAATCCCAACACCTTCAGGGATGTAACATGGTTTACTCTTACGGGACTAATGATCTGAATAGTTGTAGTGCCTGGATTGAGTCATTGTCCCCTTGAGATGTTTAACCATGGAAGCACCTTCCATCTCACAGCCCGGCAGGCGCTCGGGCGTGGCGGCGCGGCGCGGCGCGGCGCGACGCGACCTGCGCCTCCGCCCGCCCCCGCTGCCCAGGTCCCTCTGTACTCGAACGTGGCGCGTTCCTCTGGGAAGCGCTTCGCGTGAGCGATCTGGCATCAGCGCTCGCTCCAGTCATAAGGAAGCCGCGATATTGGCACATAGTATGGAAGAGTTACTCGGGCGTCGAATAACAGGTATGGGTTCTGTCGCCTGGATGAGAAGTGCGGAAAAATGAAATACGTCTTTGGAAATGAAGTTGGACCGGAAATAAAACTAAGATGTTTGTTTGTTTCTTTGAAACAAATAATTTTATTGCTTGTTCTAAACACTAGTTACACCAATATTGCCTGTACTATACCAACATCTCGGTTGTCACGTTTTCCAACTTTACCCAAGCGCTCTCTGTCGTACTACAGCCTTTGAGGAAAATGCATCACAATTTATTTTGAATTTTAAAATGTAAATACAAGCTAGCCTCATCGAAGTAAATAGCAGAGAGAGGCGTGACCTGCAAACGAAATTAACTGGAGCACTCGCACACGAAGGAAGGGCGACGGCGGCTGCCGTTCACTACACTTCACGAATCCCCCTCGAACTAAACTCGGTCAGTTCGCGATTATTCTTGCTCGAGAAACGATCACAAGTCGACAAGCGACGTAACCGGCAGCAGAGTTCGGTACGTTCACCCAGAGCGCTCAACCGCTGCATCTTGGTTATTCAATTCCGGAGACGAAACTCTCGAAATGCCTTTCCACACTACAACTTTCAGCATTTAAAATTGCGTACTTCTCGATGTACTCAATGTATCTCAAAGTAAAAATAACTTGGTACGATGAACTCTTCGCAGTTATATAATAAAATTGCTCCCTGATTACTCACATTACATGACATTTTACAAATCCAGTTCTTACAATCAATACTATCAGTGTAAGGGAGAGTAAGCTGCTGATGGAAGTTAAGAAGAGAAATGTTACTCGCTGGGACTTGATCGCTTCTGACCACCGCCGCCCCGCTCTCTCGTGTATCCTATACGGCTCGCCAAGTTCTTCAGGTTCAGGCAAACAGCCTCCACAAACGGCCTTCAGCACCATTAGTGTGCGAGTAATAGGAGGTCATATCCGATCTCTCAACTCAATCGCTCCGTTTAGTAACATTATGAGTCATAAAGCGGAAGACAAAAACCCCAGGTTCTAACTATACTAAACAATCATAATAATGTGAATATCAAACATCATGTACTACATAGGAAGCTAGTGTGTACCAAAAAAGAAAAATACAAATTTCCTATACGTACGACTAAAACTGTTCCTTAAGGAAACATAATTTGTCAAAGGTGATGTTTACTGGGCAACCCGATCACTGTATGGCCAGGTATACTTTTCAATAAACTCTCACGGTTAAGCATTTGGTATTTCGAACAAACCTCAATACATTGTAAGCGTGTACCATTGATCAAAACCGTGTGAATCGAAGTGAGGTCAGCATGCTATTCGAGGCGCCACCATACAGTTCTTTTACTAACAATCGATGTATTACAAAAGTATTGACAGAAATCTCGGAGAAACCTACGAACACTCCCAACCAAATCGAGGTGTCGTTTTCAAAACGCTCTGGCGTCATAACGTGTAATTCACAACACACGGCGCCGCCGTCCGCACAATGGCCGTTCGCTCTCATTATCTCCGCCTCTTTGTCAATCGAGAATTCTGTCGCCGGCGCACAAGAGCCTCATTGACGGAGGCCGCCTATGGTTTGTTATGTGTTAACTTGAGTGAAAGTGCAACAGCGTGGAGACGGCGGTGAGACGGCGCGCCGCACCTGGGCTCTCCAGGCTGCGCTACCCTTCTTGCAGAAGGAGAGTAATCGGTAATTCTGGAGCGTTGACGCCACAATCACCCTGTTCTCCGTTAGTGCAAGCCTTACTGGGGCAAAACTTTCATTGTTTCATTAAAACGTTATTAACGTTATCATACCGATTCAGAGGAATTAATCAACCAAGACTGTTACTTAAGTTGTCAGCCGTGTGTCCTTCAATATTGTAAGTAATCACTTCTTTTGAAAAAATAACTACATAAAAAAATCCATCAGTTTGAGTAAGAGATCTAATAAGACATGTTGTGATGCAACTTATTTGTTTCAATTCTCTTAAAACATGCATTCTTGTTTTGTTGCATTGTGTTGTTATTCAAACTCACGAAAACTAACTATTGCGACGTCAATCCTACTATTTAATATATTTTCAGTACTTCAGCCACAGTATCAGACCTAGCATGAATGAATTGAGTTCGGTTGTCAATAATGGCATCTCACATTTCGAGTTTCCTACGACAATGAAATATGATACCACTTTAACGCGGAATGACCAACACATGCCAACATGTACGAGCGAATGTCATTTGTTGAGCATAAATGAATCCACTTAGAATGTAAAAAATGGCACTTCCCCTTTCTTTTACGAGACAAAATAATTTCGATTTCACCTAAAGTGTCACATGCGTTACTTACACTTAAATATCCCAATTCGGCGATAAATGATGATAATAATGATATAATGATGGTTTAAAGTGCATCGGAGAGGCGAAATTGGAGAAGGGTGTTTGGGGAAACAGAAGAACCCTAAAAAAGTGTCATAAACTGCTTCATTCATCACTAATTACACATGATGATATACAATTTGAAAAGCCAGTAGCAAGAGTTGCAAAGCTGCAGCATTACTCGTTGTCACAGGGTTCACAGCGCAATCAAACACATTCCTTTATATTTGCTACGGCGCAATCACCGCATTTCCCTCATTAATATATCCCCCACCTTCATTGAGTGAACGCTTCGACGTCCCTCAAGACCTCAATTTTTTCTCTACTGAATATTTGGAACTAGCTTGTACTAGCTTCACAATGAACTGCAACTCCCTGTTGCTCCAGGCGCCGCTGCTGCTCCATTTGACAGCCACGTGGTTTCATTATAATTAATGAATAGCAACGCTGCCATTTAACATGGTAACTGTCATCCACCAGATAGCAGTTTTCTTGTTGAACGGACTGCCCAGAAATTCAATACCGAAGCAATGCCTTCAAACTTTTTACATTATCGAACTAATATTTTTCTTATTCATATTCAAGTTTTAAACAAACATACAAAGCAAACTTAACGACATGGAACGTGTATATTTCTCATTCACAGAAATTACACATGCAGGCCTTCCTTTTCCGTGACTTTTACTACTCTTATTAAATATCTAACAAAGATTTTCGATACATCAGTTCTTCTGACGACAAAACTAGCAATGCAAAAACATACGGCTCCATGACTATGGATATCATTGCCTATATTATCACTATAACAATCCTCCTATTGTTCCCTAAACTCTTATTAATTTCATCAGGCTACTTTATTGGAAATTTTAGCCTTGTGATTTCGTCTTCTTTACAGCTCCGACATTACTACTATTATCAACGTTTAATACAAGTCGGCTCCTTTTTTTAAAATCCCTAATAGTTTATCCAATAGTTATGGCAGAATTGGCGATCCAAACCATTGTTTGTCGACCGTGATCATTGATATATGCATGACCTTCAGTTAGCGGAGATGTGATGGGGTATTATTTTAATCGTAATAACAGTGATAAAGTTTTCCGTCAGTAAACAGAAAATTGATGATAATATCCCACGATGATTGTAATAATAATAATAATAATAATAATAATAATAATAATAATAATAATAATAAATGCCAATTGTAATTATAGTGATTTCTACTTAAAAGGAAAAAGAAGATAATTCCCTAAACCCTGTTATATTGTCACCAGAGAGTCATCTATCTCTCTGGCATCCCGTACGGCGTCACTCTCCACCCAGCCTGATATGCAGCCCCACTCCGTGAACCGCCGGAAGGGAGCGGGCGCCGCCTCGAGC